CAGCATCAGATCCCTGGCTCTCAATTCTCAGATCTTACGCTCCTAGGATCCAATAACAAAGTGTATCGAACGATGTTATGGCACTTCAGCGATCGCAAAACGGATCTTCGAATTCACGCGAAATGATCGCAGGGATAAGTGAGAAGGGGGACTTGCTACCCGATACACTTGGTGGGGAGGACATGGCATATTTGAGAAAAACCATAGCAACGCTCAAAATATGATGGATGAAGGAAGATGGATGAAGATGGCCTCACATCCGCAGATCCGTGGACTACAGTTGCAGGTCATATCTTTCAATCCAACAACGCGAGCTACATTCGGGATAAGATCGCTACGTTCTGAAACATTTAAGTAGCAAAATAAGCAATAACTCGTTAAATGATGTATTATTGCTCCGTAACAACGTTTCTAAACGGGTCGTTACTGACGTGGAACGCATGGGTAGCACGTGCTTGGATAATTTCAGCAAATGAAGTTCATCATGTCCGCCATCCAGAAGAAGGCGCAGATGCTAAATAATCCTAGGAATCAATGAGGGAAACCGTACATTTCGGACAGGTGAAAACACTTGACATTTACAGCATACGTTCTTAGCGAACTTGAGCCTTATCAACAGCTTGCCTGAAGAATGCAAGGTATTAGAGGGAGAACAGAAGCACCAACAATTGCAGGGCACATGGTCCATCTTGTAAAATAGATGAGGGAATTAAGTACATACGCAGTATTTTGACGCTATTTTTTTCTTCACCAAATATGTAGGAAGGGAAGTGTATTATCCAGTTTAACAAAACTGAATGGACAGATGTATACCTGAATTGAGTTCGTGAACGCATCTTCACGGCTACATACAACAGATGGGTGCATAAGATGAATATCTGTGATTCTGACGAATGTACCAGATGCGACGAACGACCCGTAACTCGGCGCCGCAGGTCTAGGTCATAGCCTCAAGTGAACCTGTTTTGCAATCAGTTTTAGTCTGGCCGAACAAAACAACGCGGATGGATGCAATCAAAGGGGATGTAAGAAATGACAATGCAAGGGTTCACATCCATAATGAGACGGTGGAAAGGCCTTGCATCCGCCAGAGACTCCTGTGCCGAACGTGTGTCCCTCCGCATTGTTTCAACCAGGGGTGGGTAAGCTGAATCGGTCCCTTGGTGCCAATTATATCGGATTATCTGCACTGGTAAGGGATTCTTTTGCATCAGTCAAGACCCCTGCGTCGACCGGGCACCAGATTTCCCGGTCAGAGGGTCTGCCGCACCAGGACGGGGACCGGTGTATGATGTATCCCTCTGAGGGCCTCGGTATCAACCAGGGGACCACTGTCGCCGTACTACTAGAAGGCATCCGCTCGGGATCGCGGCCTAGGACGGTATGCCCTTCAGCTCCTGATCAGGAAGTTTCACTTGTTCAGGTTCGAAGTTTAAAAAAAGGATTCTCTGAAGAAAATGAGCAATCACAGCAACATCAGCAATGAGCCTTGTGCTATTGCGTCATGAGTTTGTGATAATGTACTTGCCAATCCGCGGCCCGAAGAGACTGCAGGGCCGGGCGTCTGGGTTTATTTTCCAAGACAGTAAGCGCACATTCCTGAAATTATTTGATGGGTAGTTTTTTGTTATTAGGTGGCACTTACTGAATGAACTTCACCTGGCGAACAAGGGTCCAGCCTATCAAGGCAAATTAATGGCCCTGCTGTTTTGATCCATGGTGGCGTTCCATTCACGAGTCTCAATTTTTTTTTGTAAAACCCCGCAAAATCCGAAAACGCCCTTGCTGCTATTGTTTTACAGGAGGACACAACTGAACTATTGTCAGGTGAATGGCGCTCGCTGTTTTCTGATGTGGTCATCTTATTCCTGCTTCATTTTTTTATTTGTTTTTAAATATATGATGCATCGTACCCCCGGTTAGCGTCTGGCTTATCTTTCCATCCAAGATGCTCAACATAGGAATTAAAAACGAAATCTGGCCTCTGGAAATGACGTTGGCGAAGCCCTGCGGACTATTTCGGTGGAAGTTGGCTCACCGATTGACAATAAGGCTGAAAAAGAAGGTAGCAGAAATCAAGAGACTTTTGTGAGAGGGACGTTAAGTTCCAGAGGGCATCGCAATAAAGCATGACCCTTCCCTTAAAATCATCGATCCTTCCCTAATCACATCACCAGCAGCTTTCACGGACACATTGCCCTAACAGCGGAGAGTCTATCAAACATGTGTTCACATTCAATGCATCGAGCAGGTCACTGCTGGTCTACCAGTTTTTGATCTTGCCCTGCAATGAGATTGGTGATACAACACTTGTGCAGCCAATGTCAGCAGTCATTGCTGGCCTACCAGTTTTCGATCCCGCCTTGGAATAAGATTGGTGATACAACACGTACGTAGCCAGTACAATGATTTTAAGGGAATACACCCGTACAACTACGTGTTGAACGGGAGAGCTGGAGTGACGGATGGTCGTGGCTGCCGTTACCAAATGGCCGCTGAAGTGCGTAATCGATATTATGAAGCTGCCAGCGCTAAAGCCACTCTCGAAACTTTTCTCTTCTAGCCGTGAAGTGGATGGTTCGAAGAAAAAAAACGTCACGGTCCATTGTCCAAGCATACGTTGCCCGCCAGGCCCCATGGATACTGTGCCATTTAGCTGTGACGTCACGGTATCGACGGGGGTGCATTCCGGAGCTAGCTGGGCCCGCGAACAGTCCACTGACGGTCGCCGGGGAGAGCGGTACTTCGGTGTAGACGGCAGCTGGACCGACCAGGTGAGGGCGTATGAGTTGCGCCAGGAGAGGGACGGGTGAGGGATGCAGGAGAGGGACGGTTGAGGGGTGCAGGAGAGGGACAGCTGAGGGGTGCAGGAGAGGGACGGTTGAGGGGTGCAGGAGAGGGAAGGTTGAGAGGTGCAGGAGAGGGACGGTTGAGGGGTGCAGGAGAGGGACGGTTGAGGGGTACACAAGAGGGACGGTTGAGAGGTGCAGGAGAGGGACGGTTGAGGGGTGCGGGAGAGGGACGGTTGAGGGGTGTAGGAGAGGGACGGTTGAGGGGTGCAGGAGAGGGACGGTTGAGAGGTGCAGGAAAAGGATGGTTGAGAGGTGCAGGAATTGGGCGGTTGAGAGGTGGGGGAGAGGGACGGTTAAGGGGTGCAGGAGAGGGACGGTTGAGGGGTGCAGGAGAGGGAAGGTTGAGAGGTGCAGGAGAGGGACGGTTGAAAGGTGCAGGAAAGGGACGGTGGAGAGGTGCAGGAATTGGGCGGTTGAGAGGTGGAGGAGAGGGACGGTTGAGGGGTGCAGGAGAGGGATGGCTGATAGGTTTAGTTTCTGGAGAGGTTTGAGGATGCCTATCAGTACTTACAGCAAGGGTTGATAAACGTATTTTGAAATCGATTGGATTGGTAGTGGACCTCAGAAGTGGGCGTGGAACATTATACCAATGGAAACTAAGCACACGTCTTAGCATACGCTCGTTTGTGTTCTAAGCCACATTCAGAGCAATATTTCTACTGGCAATAGTGACTTCCACTAAAAACAAACCAATCCTTTGGTTTGCCACTTCACGTGCTGCGCTGGATGGGACGCCTACAAGTATTTCTCGAAGCTGATTGTTGAATATGGCCAGAAACAAGAGCTGGACATGATGCGGTCGACGGTGTATTGCTATATTTGACATTTCTTGCACTTTATCGTGCACCGCACGTCGTCAAGATATTCCTGAGCAAATATCGTACAGAATGTGATTTTGAACAAATGACTTGACATCAGTGAAATAAGTAGATTACAACAATCTGGAATGAACAACAGACACCCACATCTAACGTTTACTTTTAATTTTCTACGCCAATTTTTAAAAGGATGCAAAGTATTATTCCACATCCACCCCATCCAAAGTGCCTATGACCACAAGAGCAGCCCAGGTGGAGCAGGGCCCGACCCTTCCCCTTAGGTCCGGGTTTTTTTTCCATATTTTGGCAAAGATGACTGCTGACAGACAATAAAAAAACCTGTGCAATCAGTTAGCAAGCTATGTACACGGGCGGTGTCACCAGGTGGGAGAGCGAGGAGGAGAGGGGGCAGCCTCCCCTCACTATTTGTTAAGTAGAATAAACATATTTTTTGTTATCCTTGAAATATCTTGACGCTACATTCAGCCGACGGGAGGCCTCAGATGACCTAAACAGAGCACTTCATCGAATCAAAAGTAAAGCCCGCAGAAGAATTTATAGACTAATCTCTTGAAATTAAATGTAGTCTGCGGCAATCATTTCAGCTGCATTAAGCCAGAATTTTTAACGTCGGAACGCAGGTACGTTCTTTTGCTCAATTTTTGTCGAAGGTGCTTGAAGAAGGGTGCTTGATCGAGGCTCACATTACAGTGCAGTACAGCAGGCCAACAAGACCGTCCTGTACTGCAGTACGAACCATACTTGACGTCATCGACTAAAAGGCATGTTCTGTGTTGTACGCACTCGGTAGTATCATGCTATACCACTAGAATAGCACAGCAATCCGGTAGGAAATATGATTTATTTTTACACGTGAAATGCTAGCGAGTCAACTATTTTGGCCTCAGCTGATTCTGCAGTAAGTGCCACATGGTACTCCCGCGTGAGCTGGAACGTTCTGTTGAGCAAGTGAAGCCATTGCTAGAATAGAATGTTATTACCATCGGAACCACCGCCTTGAACTACACGTTTCATGAAAATGTATGAGAGATTCCTCCAGTTATATTTTTAATGATATCCTCACAACGGGCTCTGGAACATTTACTGTCACTGTCAGTACAAAACTTTTTACCTTTCACGCTGGTAACACAACCCAATGCTTATTTCGGGTTGCACGCTCAGCTCACGTCCCGCAGAGTCCCGGCCTCCGCTCGGCTCGCGTAGTATGGCATCGCTCTGTCGGCAGACATGCAAAGCTCCGCTTTGAGCGGAAGTCGCTGGGCGGCGTTACAGCATGCTCCGCGGCCCATGTTCCACCGGATCCCGATCCCCGTGGGACTGGAGCGTACGCTGGAGGACCTCTCGAGGGAGGTGCTGCGCCGCCAGCCGGACGACATCTACCGCTTTTGCCATGCCTTCTTCCAGCGCAGGCTAGCAGAGCGGAAGGGTGAGACTGAGTGGATGGGAGACCGGGACCGCCATCGAGGGAATTCGGTGATGGCCTATGTCAACGTGCGGCAAGTGTACACGCTCACCATACATGGCCGCACAAAAACGCCGCCTATGACGTCGTGATTTTGTCCTAAATGCAACTGAACTCGAACGGAGTCAGACTTAGCTCCGCCTACAGAGCCTGTGCGGTTCCGTTCATGAGGGGTTCTCAGCGCAGACGGCGATGTTAGACTTCGACCTCGCTCGCCCTCTAACAATGGTGCGTTGTCCACACAGACAAGGCGTCGGAGGGAGCCGACGGGCTGGCCTCCGTCGAGGCCCGTCCCAATGATCTACTTCAGGAGGTGGATGGCGACGATGAGAACGCGCTTAAGTCGTCGGGCTCTGACGGTCCACTGGAGTACAAGGTACGATGGGATGTATCCGGTCGAAATACCGACCGCAGAGGAGGCTTATCCCAACTTGGCTGCAAGGAATCTTGAGTTATTGATATCCCTCGACAACGCACGTAACGTCACAGTGTCGTCCGGGTGCCAGACATATTGCAATGTAGACAGATGTTAATCACTTCCAAGCTCCATCATCCAGACATCCCCTGGACAGAATCATACTAAACACGCAACCTTGAAAAACAGCCACTATTAAGAAGCAAAGCTGAGTTTAACGTAATTGTATTGTGTGTGGCAGTTGCCGGTGCAGTCAAAGCCAGTGTAAGACAGCGTTTAACAACGCAGCTTATCAAATGGAGCGCGCACTGAAAGATCTTCCACCATTCATCACAAAATATCACCAGCGTGGCAACGTTCTGTTTTCGTCAAATCTGACACCTCTCCATTATGCCCGAGGCACCCTGCAGCTCCTGGATGATTTGCATGCTCCTTACGCGCCGCGACATAAAAACTCGCCCAACGCACCCCAGACCGACTCATTCCAGAAATGTGAGATGTGACGAAGAAAGATGCAAGTGGGAATGAACGGAAAGCGAAATCGGAGCAAATGTTGAAGCAATGCGTGCAATGAGCCGCAATAAAATCACGGAAAATTAAAGAAAAGCCGCATAGGCTATGATAATCCATTATGCACCATGATGCGCGGGTTCCGCGCAAAAGTGTGCTTCTTCAGCAGACATGGCCTTTATCGCACAGTCCTTGATATTTTCACCATGTCCGCTGAGATGGACAGCCACTGTGATCACTTCAGTTATATTTTTCTAAACACAGCTGCAAATACACCGATCCAATTGCGTTCTCATTTTAGTACTCTCTCGCCATATAGTTATTCCTGTGGTATTATTCCGATGATTTGTGCGCTCATGCCATCATCTATGTGTGCCCGCTCCTGCCATCTATTGGACCGGTGGCCGTTGCGCCGCCAGGTGCCTGCCCCCTATTCCTACATGATGATGGCGTTTTTTTCTCGGCAGGACGAGCAGGTGGAGCGGTCGCATCAGGCGGCACTCCTGGTCGGGGCACTAGGCGCTGCGGCCGCCGGCGCTGCTACCGTCGGAGCAGTGGCCGGCGCCGTCCGCGCCGCCGAGAGAAACGACCAGGCCGACCCCAGAGACACAGAGGCGCGCGACCACCAGGTTACGCCCGGCTCGGAGGAGACGACCGAGGAGGAGACGCCAAGGCCGAAGGAGACGCCTGAGGAGGGGTCGCCCAGACGGCACAGTGACGATCGGGACGGGAGACGGACGGGTCGAGAGACGCCGGCCGGTCAGAGCCCTGCGGGAGATACTCCAGACTGGGATCGCGGCAGTCCATCCCAGCAACACGGCACGTCAGGGTTAAACAGCGGCGGTGCAGTTGCCGTCGCTGCTGGCCTCGCCACCGCCATGGGCGTCGGTGGTGCCATGATGTTGTCAGCATCACCCGCAGAGGACGTACCAGTGGTGTCAGCAAAACACCAGCAGCAAGAGACATCAGAGACGACTCCTTATCCGCAATTTAAAGCGGAGGGAGGATCACGAGCTCAGTCGCGGTCAGAACAAGGCAGTGCAGGTGTCCAATCACGAACTGCGGGGAATGACGAAAGTGCCCCCTCGCGGGCTGGAGAAGATGGCTCACGTGTTCCCTCACGATCTGAGCAAGATGGCTCGCGCGTTCCGTCACAAGCGGGGGGAGACGAGTTACGTATCCAGTCGCGGGGTGCAGATGATGGCTCACGTCTCCAGTCACGATCTTGGGAAGATCACTCGCGTGTTCAATCACGACTTGAGAAAGATGACTCACGTGTCCGGTCACCCCTTGTAAATGATGGCTCACGCATTCAGTCGCGGTCTGGTGAAGATAACTCACATATCCAATCAGGATCTGAGGAAGATCGTTCGCGTGTTCAGTCACAAGCTGCAGAATACGGCTCACGTGGCCAGTCGCCAGCGGGCGAGCATGGTTCACGTGTCCAGTCGCCAGCGGGCGAAGATGGCTCACGTGTCCAGTCACGAGCTGGGGAAGATCGCTCACGTGTTCAGTCACGAGGTGCAGAAGATTTCTCACGTGTCCAGTCACGAGCTGGTGAATATGGCTCACGTGGCCAGTCACCAGCTGCACAAGGTGGCTCACGTGTCCCGTCGCGAGCTGGGGAAGATGGCTCACGTGTCCAGTCACGAGCTGGGGAAGATGGCTCACGTGTCCAGTCACGAGCTGGGGAAGATGGCTCACGTGTCCAGTCACGAGCTGGGGAAGATGGCTCACGTGTCCAGTCACGAGCTGGGGAAGATGGCTCACGTGTCCAGTCACGAGCTGGGGAAGATGGCTCACGTGTCCAGTCACGAGCTGGGGAAGATGGCTCACGTGGCCAGTCACCAGCTGCAGAAGATGTTTCACGTCTCCAGTCACCAGCGGGCGAAGATGGCTCACGTGTCCAGTCACGAGCTGGGGAAGATCGCTCACGTGTCCGGTCACGAGGTGCAGAAGATGGCTCACGTGTCCAGTCACGAGCTGGTGAACATGACTCACGTGGCCAGTCACCAGCTGCAGAAGATGGCTCACGTGTCCAGTCGCGAGCTGGGGAAGATGGCTCACGTATCCAGTCACGAACTGGGGAAGATGGCTCACGTGTCCAGTCACGAGCTGGGGAAGATGGCTCACGTGTCCAGTCACGAGCTGGGGAAGATGGCTCACGTGGCCAGTCACCAGCTGCAGAAGATGTTTCACGTCTCCAGTCACCAGCGGACGAAGATGGCTCACGTGTCCAGTCACGAGCTGGGGAAGATCGCTCACGTGTCCGGTCACGAGGTACAGAAGATGGCTCACGTGTCCAGTCACGAGCTGGTGAACATGACTCACGTGGGCAGTCACCAGCTGCAGAAGATGGCTCACGTCTTCAGTCATCAGCGGGCGAAGATGGCTCACGTGTCCAGTCACGAGCTGGGGAAGATCTCTCACGTGTCCAGTCACGAGGCGCAGAAGATCACTCACGTGTCCAATCACGAGCTGGTGAACATGACTCACGTGGCCAGTCACCAGCTGCAGAAGATGGCTCACGTGTCCAGTCGCGAGCTGGTGAACAGGACTCACGTGTCCATTCACGAGCTGGGGAAAATGGCTCACACATCCAGTCACCATTTGTAAATGATGGCTCACGTGTCCAATCCGGAGCTGGTGAACATGACTCACGTGGCCAGTCACCAGCTGCAGAAGATCACTCACGTGTCCAATCACGAGCTGGTGAACATGACTCACATGGCCAGTCACGAGCTGGGGAAAATGGCTCACGCATCCAGTCACCATTTGTAAATGATGGCTCACGTGACCAGTCACGGTATGACGAACATAACGTCCAATCACGACTTGAGGAACATGGTTCGCGTGTCCACTCACGAGTTGGAGAAGATGGCTCACGCGGTCAGTCACGGTTTGGTGAAAATAACTCGCATTACCGCTCAGGATCTGAGGAAGATCACTCGCGTGTTCAGTCACGAGCTGCAGAATATGGTTTACGTGGCCAGTCACCAGCTGCAGACGATGGCTCACGTGTCCAATCACGAGCTGGGAAAGGTCGTTCACGTGTCCAGTCACGAGCTGGCGAAAGTGGTTCACGCATCCAGTCGCCATTCATAGATGCTGGTTCACGTGTCCAGTCACGAGGTGCAGAAGATCACTCACGTGTCCAGTCACGAGCTGTGGAAGATGACTCACGCGTACAGTCACGAGCTGGGGAAGATGGCTCGCGCATCCAGTCACGAGCTGGGGAAGATGGTACACGCGTCCAGTCATCAGCTGTAGAAGATGGTCCACGTGTTCAGTCACGGTCTGACGAAGATGGCTCACATGTCCAGTCACGAGCTGGGGGAGATGGCTCACGGGTCCAGTCACCAGCTGCAGAAGATGGCTCACATGTCCAGTCACGAGCTGGGGGAGATGGCTCACGTGTTGACTCACGGTTTGAGAAAGGTGGCTTACGTATCCAGTCACCAGCTGCAGAGGATGGCTCACGCATTCAGTCACCAGATGCAGAGGATGACTCACGTGCCCAATCACGTGCTAGCGAAGATGGCATACGTGTCCAGTCGCGATCTGAAGAAGGTGGCTCACGTCTCCAGTCACAAGCTGGAGAAGATGGCGGCTCACGTGTTCCTTCACGTAATGGGAAAGATGATTCGCCTGGCCCGCCCGAGTCTGGGGGAGACATATCACGTGCTCCGTCTCAATCTGAGGGAGATGTTTCACGTGTGCAGTCACGATATGGGGAGGATGGCTCACGCGTCCAGTCACCAGCTACAGAAGATGGTTCACGTGTCCAGTCACGAGCTGGGGAAGATGGCTCACGTGTTCAGTCACGATCTGGAGAAGATCGCTCACGCATCCAGTCACGAGGTGCAGAAGATCGCTCACGTGTCGAGTCACGAGCTGGGGAAGATGGCTCACGTGTTCAGTCACGGTCTGGGGAAGATGGCTCACGGGTCCAGTCACCAGCTGCAGAAGATGGCTCACGTGTTCAGTCACGGTCTGGGGAAGATGGCTCACGGGTCCAGTCACCAGCTGCAGAAGATGGCTCACGTGACCAGTCACGAGCTGGGGAAGATGGCTCACGTGTTCAGTCACGGTCTGGGGAAGATGGCTCATGGGTCCAGTCACCAGCTGCAGAAGATGGCTCACGTGTTCAGTCACGGTCTGGGGAAGATCACTCACGTATCCAGTCACGAGATGCAGAAGATCGCTCACGTGTCCAGTCACGAGCTGCGGAAGATGGCTCACGTGTTCAGTCACGGTCTGGGGAAGATGGCTCACGTGTCCAGTCATCAGCTGCAGAAGATGGCTCACGTGTTCAGTCACCATCTGGTGAAGATGGCTCACGTGTCCAGTCACGTGCAAGGAAAGACGGCTTACGTGTCCAGTCACCGGCTGCAGACGATGGCTCACGTATTCAGTCACGGTCGGGCGAAGACGGCTCACGTGTCCAGTCACGAGCAAAGCAAGGTGGCTCACGTGTTCATTCGCGATCTGGGGAGGATGGCTTGCATGCTCAGTCACCAGCTGCAGATGATGGGTCACGTGTCCAGTCACGTGCAAGGGAAGATGGCTCACGTGTCCAGTCACCAGGTGCAGAAGATGGCTCACGTATTCAGTCACCGTCGGGTGAATATGGTTCACGTGCCCAGTCACAAGCTGTGGAGGACAGCTCGCGAGTCCAGTCACAAGCTAGGGATGATGATTCACATGTTCAATCACGATCTGATAGAGACTTCTCGCAAGCCCCATTACCAGATGGGGAAGATGGCTCACGTGTTCAGTCGCGATCAGAGGCAGGTAACTCGCATGTTCCGTCAAGAGCTGAAGTGGAACATGATCGGGCTAGCTCAGCCACTAAAAGACCACTGAACTTTGTATCAGAACTGGATGGTCAGGCTGTTGTGCACTCGGCTGGGGCCGTACAGACTTATTACGGACGGCTCAAAAAGCGAGAACATACTGGTCTAGATAAGTCACCTCTCTTGGATACCCCAGATCAGCTGCAAGTAGTTACGGGCAGTCCAAATGTGCCAGTCGATGCAGCAAATGAAAACGTAGCCGTTGCTGTGCATAAGGACCTGGGCATTCCAGTGGCAAACAACATTGGAACCACTTTAGAACCCAGAGAGCAAACACTGACGCCGGCCATAGAAAGTGAACATGCCACATCTCCACTTAGCAGTCAACCGGCACTGGAGACCGAGGCAGAGCCCGGGCATGCTTATGAAGAGGGTCGAGCGGGCAGCTCCAGCAACGCTCTGGCAGAGTCCTCTGCCGGGCCAGGCGACGCCACGGAGGTGGACGAAGTTGACGCGCGCTCGCAGCATTCTGAGGACAACTACGACCCGCTGGCGGTGACTCAGTCGGTGGTGCTGCCTGAAGGGCTGGCAGAAGGGAGCCAATCAACGCTCTTGGAGAAGCCCAGCACGCCCTTCCCGCAGACGGACGAGAGAGAGGGCAGTAGCGTGGAGTCCGCAGTCAACGCCAGGCGAGCGAACGGGGAGGAGGATAGTGATGAGTATGGAGAGGTCGACGGCGTCATGAAGGCGGCAGATGATAGTGACATGGGGGAAGCACATGTCCTAAATGAAGGAAAGGAACTAGTTGTCGGAGACGCCGACGATAAACAAAGCAGCAAGTTCCGGACGCAAGATGATAAACCAGCTGATGAGAATGATGTCATTCGTGAGGCGAAGTCCAGTCGGGCTCGAGATGAAATCAACGCGAGTTTTCTTGGGGACAAAGACAAGCAAGAGAGCACGTCCGTAATGAATGACACCAGCCCGAGAGATATAGAACAAGACACGGGAAGCCCTGGTACTTGGTATAGCCGGGCTCAGAACAACATCAAAGGACTTTTTGTGGCAAGCGATGATGGGAAACAGGAGAGAAATTCATATATACAAGAAGACGATGTTGACAAGGAAGATCAGACTGAAAATAAGAACGACGAAAAGTCTGATGCTAGTTCAACCCATACCCTGGGCGAAATTACAAGAGTCTCTACGTCAAGGGACGGCGACGAAAAAGAGGAAGGCAATACGCAGGCTCAAGAAGACAGCCAAGAGCGTGAAAACACCAGCGAGGAAGGTGGAACGTCTGGCAACTGGCTCAGCTGGGCTCGCGATGAGGTCAAAGGAGTGTTTGTCGGAGATGAACAAAGCCAAGAGGAAGAAAATTCCACGACAAAGGATGAAACCCATGAAGAAAAAGACGGAAAGAGTGATGAAGAAGGGTCGGATAGCTGGTTCAGTCGTGCTAAAGAGGGAGTAAAAGACATGTTTGTCCCTGAAGATGCGAAGCAGGATGCTGCACAAGCGCAGGGCAGCAATCCAGAAGTTGAAAATGAAAACGATGAGGAGGGAAAGTCAGGAAATTGGTTAAGTCATGTCGGACAGGAAATTAAAGGAGTGTTTGTCGGTGACGATGAAGTGAAAGAGGAAGGCAACACCCAGGCTCAGGAAGACAACCAAGAGCATGAAAACACCAACGAGGAAGGTGAAACGTCTGGCAACTGGCTCAGCAGGGCTCGCGATGAGGTCAAAGGAATTTTTGTCGGAGATGAACAAACCCAGGAGGAAGAAAACTCCACGACAAAGGATGAAACCCATGAAGAAAAAGACGGAAAGAGTGATGAAGAAGGGTCGGATAATTGGTTCAGTCGTGCTAAAGAGGGAGTAAAAGATATGTTTGTCCCTGAAGACGCGAAACAAGATGCTGCGCAAGCGCAGGGCAGCAATCCAGAAGTTGAAAACGAAAACGATGAGGAAGGAAAGTCAGGAAATTGGTTAAGTCATGTCGGACAGGAAATTAAAGGAGTGTTTGTCGGTGACGATGAAGTGAAAGAGGAAGGCAACACCCAGGCCCAAGAAGACGACCAAGAGCGTGAAGACACCAACGAGGAAGGTGAAACGTCTGGCAACTGGCTCAGCAGGGCTCGCGATGAGGTCAAAGGAGTTTTTGTCGGCGATGAACAAACCCAGGAGGAAGAAAACTCCACGACAAAGGATGAAACCCATGAAGAAAAAGACGGAAAGAGTGATGAAGAAGGGTCGGATAATTGGTTCAATCGCGCTAAAGAGGGAGTAAAAGACATGTTTGTCCCTGAAGACGCGAAACAAGATGCTGCGCAAGCGCAGGGCAGCAATCCAGAAGTTGAAAACGAAAACGATGACGAGGGAAAGTCAAGGAATTGGTTAAGTCATGTCGGACAGGAAATTAAAGGAGTGTTTGTCGGTGACGATGAAGTGAAAGAGGAAGGCAACACCCAGGCTCAGGAAGACAACCAAGAGCATGAAAACACCAACGAGGAAGGTGAAACGTCTGGCAACTGGCTCAGCAGGGCTCGCGATGAGGTCAAAGGAGTGTTTGTCGGTGATGAACGAACCCAGGAGGAAGAAAACTCCACGACAAAGGATGAAACCCATGAAGAAAAAGACGGAAAGAGTGATGAAGAAGGGTCGGATAATTGGTTCAGTCGTGCTAAGGAGGGAGTAAAAGATATGTTTGTCCCTGAAGATGCGAAACAGGATGCTGCACAAGCGCAGGGCAGCAATACAGAAGTTGAAAACGAAAACGATGACGGAGAGAAGTCTGGGCATTGGTTCGGTCGTATTGGAGAGGAAATAAAAGGAGTCCTTGTTGGGGATGAGGACGATAGGCAGGAGGGTACTTCTCAAGCACAAGAGCAAAGCCAGGTGGGCCATGTGCAAGACAAAGAGGAGGGAAAGTCAGGCAGTTGGTTTAGCCGAGCTCGTAAGGAAATAAAGGATAGCTTTCAGGGCCTGAAGGAAAACGTGACTGACACGTTTCGTATCGCGGAGCACTCCACCCGACCGGCGACTGGGAATGATGCGCCATCCGGCAAGGCCGTTCGGAAGTAGTCTGTGAAACTACACAACGACCATGAGGAGAAAACACTGTTTCGTCAAGCAAAAGATAATCATGTGTGTCCAGGGCAGAGGCGCAAAATCATAACTTTTAGATTACCCACTGAAGCGGTGCCTCACATCTCTAGTGATGGGATCGCTTAACAAATTGTGTGGATTGGTGTCGAAGTAAGTTGCACATAAACGTTGAGCACCAATGTGCGCAAATTCGCCAGTATAGCGCGATATATGCACACGCTTGACTACTTCTGCGTGCGGTTTTGCACTTTTGCCGCCGACTGTGACGAATACGTCATGTGTTTGTTTGATGGTCTGGCGGGTCTTTCAGACGAGTCACGCGTTCTGCCTCGCCATTTTGTCTGGAGTAAATGTGGCACAAGCGAAAAAAGGAGGGTGGGGCGGGTGGGTCATGACTCACTGACCTTCCATGGAATCCCAATGATAACCTTATAGCTGTGCGTGTAAAAAAATATTTCTTACCGGGGTTCGGCCATCCTGCGTATTTGGTGTATCCAGACGTGCCTAGTGTCTGCTCCGCATGTAACGCACTATATTTGAGTCCTGAGCCAAAAACTAAAAGAGCAAATTGCTGAACAGCTCGCGTATGGCTGGATGTATTTGAAACACTCAAGGAAGCTCTTATATTTGGATCATTCCATGCCAACTCATCCCATCGATATCCTTCGACCCCCTGAGATTTAGACGATTTTTTTCACCGGATTTTCGACTGCTCTGAACGTGACACTCACAAAATTACTGCGACTGTAACTGCCTCTCAGAGTTAGAAAAATGTTTGCCTCATGCCCCGAAAAAGTAAGTTTTAAGCGATCGTGTCCAGTATTCAAAATGTTTATCACAAACCAAAAGTCGACAAAGAGACGATAGACCGAAGCAGTTCACTAGAAATCCTTTTGGAATGTTCAGAATTTCCAATTCAAGTAGCCATGGCCACTCTTGTAGGAGAAATCCCATTGGACTGCCTGCTCACCGCTATGAAAGGTGCACATTTGCTTTGCCTCGTTTTTTACGTGTATGTTCTATAGCGTTTTCAACACACTTAATTGTCAAAATGCTTGTGTAATAAATGCTACGAAAGCTTGGTACACTGTTTTTCAGAAGAAAAATATATGCAAACATCAGGCTATTTTTACGCAGGTTCAACAAAACGTTATACTATGACTTTGATTTTTCTCCCATGGCATGTTCTAGTGTTTGTTTCTGAAGACCACTTCGCATTTGAGAAACGGAATGTCACATGGTACATGGTGAGGCACTCGTTCAAACACAGATCAGTACGCTTTCCGGTTACTGGGCCTTGCCGCCCGCTGTGCTAATCACAGATGTTCATTTGTACTAACGGCATACATACCAGGAGAAGTGCTACTTTTGAGCTCGCAATGTATGGGTTAAACGGCTCAAGAGTGGCACCAATAACCCGCAACAGCTGACAACAGCAATCAGCAGATTCTGCAACGGCGGCAGATTCTGCTGTCGTCATGACGACGGCGGTTGTCATGAAGGCCAAGTTCGCGACAACTACAGTTGTCGCAAGCTCGGGATGCATTCTGGGACTACCAAGAGAGGAAGAAGTGTAGTGCCATACAAACCACTGGCAGCATAACTTAAACTCAGAATATTCAAAATCAATATCCTTATCAGTTTTTGATGGCGCTGCAGTGGCAGTGCCCAGTGCTATCACAAGACGTAAGTGGTCATGAGGTTTCACCAGAGTACGTTTTTGAAATATCCCCGAAATGTGGAACACTCCCTTGAAACATTTTAAGAAAAAATAATACAAATTTCCTGCACAATTGTATACATGAACTTGAAATTTCATGACTACTTTGTGTTGCAACATTGTTTGTGCATTCTCCGCACCGTATTCGGGGTCACATCGCAGCTGACCACCCCACACACAACGGCGAACTGCCGCACGCAACGCTGACAGAGAAACTCACACTACACGCCCCGAGCAGCACCTCTTATACTCCTTTCAAGCCCACCCGCAACACGATCGGCGTGCGACTCGCCGGCACCACTGCGTCCCACCCCACCGCGTCCACGGGCTAACGCATCGCCCCTGAGCCGTGACCGTTTCCCTACGTCAGCACTGTCCTGGGGCGTGATCTTTTGCCACATATGGTCCACCTCTACACCTTTTTGCCAAAATGTCCTAAAAAAAAAGTTGGGGGCATACCCATAACGGGTAATCGAGCGAGCAGGAAATCTCCACTCCCATGCGCAGCGGTTGGCCGCCACTCCGCCAGCAGCCCCTCCCCTAACGTCGGGCGCCTGACGCAGCCTGAGGCATTACGCGGAGGAAAGCGGGAAGTTCGTTGGTTTCAGTGGCGCAGGCAGGGAGGGGGCACAGGAAGCACGTACCCCTCCCCCTCCTCTTCCCTTAGTTTCCGAGGGGTCCTTCGGGCCCCTCGGAACCTACAATAAAGGGCCTGGTTTGAGCGCCTAAAGGGCCTGAAAGACCAGCCTGAGTTCTCATTCAAGGGCCCGGTCCGCATGGCCGGGCACCCCAACACCAGCCAGAGGGCCCCACGCAGTTCGGGGGTCCACTGAGTCTATAAGGGTCTATATTTCGGTCAAACACCACCAGTGTCTGCGTCTCTCTCTCTCTCTCTCTCTCTCTCTCTCTCTCTCTCTCTCTCTCTCTCTCTCTCTCTCTCTCTCTCTCTCTCTCTCTCTCTCTCTCTCTCTCTCTCTCTCTCTCTCTCTCTCTCTCTCCCTCTCTCTCCCTCTCTCTCTCTCTCTCTCTCTCTCTCTCTCCCTCTCTCTCTCTCTCTCTCTCTCTCTCTCTCTCTCTCTCTCTCTCTCTCTCTCTCTCTGCCTCTCTCTGTCTCTCTGTCCCTGCCTCTATGAAAGTGCTCACATTAAGGTAGTAGAAAAGTATTGTGCCAGTCAGCGTACCAGCACCGAACGGTGGGCCCTCCAACCATATTTCAGCACCGGCCCGTTTAGTCCAGCTGGAGTCTATGTGCCAATTATTTGACCAGCGCGGCGAGCAGGCATGTTTTTGCGTAATGACAGTTCATGCGTCGGTCCGGGGTCAGCTGTGTGGGTCAGATGGCCTCCCGCGTCAGCAAGCGGACCAATGTGATGTAATGTGTCCATCTAATGGCCTTCGGATCGGCCAGGGGATGCCGCCCCGTGTATCCAGAATGACGGCCGGAAAACACACCGCGGTAGGATAGAATGGGCCTTCAGCTCTTGACCGAAAACAGCAATGTGCCTTGTAGTGTTGTACTCAAGTGAGTACCTTTACCGGAAAGAAATAAGGGGTCTCATTGGTGTTCAATGGAGTGGGTCAAAATGAGTTCAAAATGCACAAGGTCATCCCATATTTGCCTGACAACGCTCATTTATTTGCAAAATCGACTAGCGAAACAAATACCATCAAAGGGTTTGAGCCTGCACGCCGGGTGCCGCGATGTAGTGGTTCACGCGCCTGTGTTAACCACCGCGCGTCTGCGAAAGCACAGTTTCGGGGTCCCATTCCCCGCTGTGCCCGCCCTTTCCGCCAGGGTGAGAGGCTAGCGGCGCCATATAGCCCCAGCAGCTGAGGACATCAAAAAGCCCCAATGACCCGCCCGTTATATGGGGAAGCAAGGATAGCGATGGCTTAGGCCATATCTGGCGAATTGGGGGTCTTTTTACTATTAGGGGGCCCTTTGGCACCCCTGCGCCCCGTCCTTGCCAAGGCTCCTTTCTTTTTGGTTAAATCGTTATCTGTGCCTTTAACAAGCGATGACTTCCAAAAGCGAAAACACGTTCCACGCCGCCCTGCTTCTAATGAAGGACAGTGCCAATCCCGACATCACAGGTATCGCGGTCCATCGTGAAGTGTCCGCATTGTCAATAAAACAAGGAAACGTCAGTGAGGCTTCACTAAGAGCCCTTTGGGCTCTCGAAAGCGTGCTGAGCCGTCTTGGTTCACTGAAACGGGGTCTCGCGAGCGGTCAGACGGAATAAGGGGCCCAACATGTGCGCAAAACCTATCACATATTTCCGGACGTACGATGTTAGTCCTGAAAAACTAGACTGCTGGTTTGCTGTGCGCGGTTTCGGTCACTCACGCTGCTTCCGCATTTTCTCGGGGTCTGTGGCTAGCCCATCCCCGAAGCCACAGACGTGATTTAGCTGCGAAAGAATTTGTACTTAGGCAAATTCAGAGCCAAGACGGCCGAGCTGAGGCCACAGAGAACAGAGTCCAGTCCGCCAAAACCTCCGCAAACTTCTTTCCGTGCACAATGTTGTCGTCGAAGCAAGTGACGCAGGTCTTTGTAGACGGGTCCCCGATAACCATGTTAAGCAATTTTGCGTATGAGAACGGCGCCGAATTGGGCCCAAAGCAGACTCTGGTGTACGCCAGGTTGTCGAACGGAGTAGTGATTGTAGTTTTGTCCCTGTTAACTGGGTTTATGGGAGTCTGGTGGCAGGCAGCATCCATGTCAAGCGTGCAGTAAAACGACGAGAATGCAAGTGACTCCGGCGAATCATCGATACGAGAGATTGGGTAGGCCGGCAGTCTGGTTATTGAGTTCGATTTACGTAGGCCGGCACACATTCTGTGTTCGCCGCTATTCTTTTTCGCCAGGCCGATGGGCGACGCCCAGCTGCTGTCAGATTCCTCCAACATCCCTTGACGGACGAGCTCGTCCAGCCGCACGCGCACCTCGTCCTTCAGGAGGGGAGGCGGGCGACGTGGGCTCTGCCTTATCGGGGGATGGTCCCAGGTCTCGATTTTGTGGTTCACCAAATCGTTAAACCCTACATGACCGTTGAACATCGACTCATATTTGTAAAGCACAACAACGAATGATTTGCGCTGGCTGTCAGACAGCGAACAACCGTCCCAATCGACCATACTCCCCAGTGCGGACGGAGGTGTGCGCTCGCAGTCGAGCAGCGGTTTCTCCACGGAGCCCACCTCCAAATCAGCGATCTCCGAGTGCTCTGGAGCGTTGAAATGCTCTGCTGTGACATGGCGTACTATGATATTAATGAAGAATGGTCCACGTCCGCAACGCAATGGACCACTACCACCCCCGGGTGGTCCCATGTGGGTTCAGCTACCCGCTGGACCTCGATAATCGTGATTGTGAACGTAAGATAGAATAACCAGCTCTGACCCAGGTGGAATAGAAAAACATTCCCCACGACAACCTTCTCGACAGACGTCATTTCGGCTGATACTGTGCGAACAGACTCGGCAGGCCTGACTGCCAACAGCCGTTCACGAAGGTCGGTGACGGCGGGGAACATGTTGCAGACAGTCCAGGCCCAGGAGACAGGGGGTAAGGCAAGCCCAGGAGACAGGGGGCAAGCCCAGGAGACAGGAGGCAAGCCCAGGAGACAGGAGGCAAGCCCAGGAG